CCTAATGTTGGCTCAATAAACAATCGTTGAACTGTACCTAGAGGCACCTGAGATTATATCATAAAGTAATCTAACACAACATATTTGCATGTCATGAATGCTCATTGAAAGGTAATCTTGCAGGAATTAAGGTCATCTTTCATGTTAAATTCCATGTGAGTGCAAAACAAATATATATGGTATGCAGCAGGTGAGGTAGTATACTTGCTGGAGTTGAAGTAAGTAACCTCTGCTTTCTCCTCTTTAGGGAAAGTTGTGACAAGCTGTGAAAGAGATTGGGAGGAGGCAGGCAAAAGGGATTGAGGCAGGGCTGATTGAGACAGGGAGGGAGGAGGCTTACCTGAGTCAGAAGAGAAAGGGAGCCACATGGGGGTGTGTGGGTATGATTGGGGATAGGATGATGTCCGAGGCAAGAAAGAAGAGAGTGATAGAGACTGTTTGAGGCAGGCAAGAGGAAGAGAGGCTGTCCGAGATGACAGGAGAATGTGAAGTAGCAAATATATATGAAGGAGAAAAGATTCAAGCATCATGGCTGTGGTGATCATCTTGTTCAAAAACAAAGTTGCTGGAAAATCCCAGCAGGTCTGGCAACATCTGTGAAGGAAAAAACAGAGTTAACGTTTTGGGTCCAGTGACCCTTCCTCAGAACTCTGTTTTTTCCTTCACAGATGCTGCCAGACTTGCTGGGCTTTTCCAGCAACTTTGATTTTGTTCCTGATTTACAGCATTTGCAGTTCTTTCAGTAATCATCTTGTTGATGGAGAAGAAGCATTCAGGGAATAGATGGTCAGGTAGAGGGATTAGTGTTATCAATGGTGGGGCCCTGAGTTTTGAACTCAGGGTATTGGCAGCAGAGAGAAAAGATGCATTAAACAGGAGAGCGAGGGGCATTAGTGTGGGAGTTCAAAGGTCATAGTCATGTATGGATGGTCTTATATTGTACAGAATTGTACAGTACAAGTGAAATGGATACTGGGAAGTGTTAGGTTGGGCATGTGAATGCTAATAGATGTAGGCACAGAAAGGAGAAAAGACATGTAAAGGGTGATGGTCATAGTGTCTTGGGTAATGGGGAAAGGTTCAAAGGTAACAGGGAGATAAATGGCTACCTTGATGGACGAGAACGGGGACACGCTGGCTCCGTGGCTAACACTGCTGCCTTACAGTGCCAGACACCCAGATTTGATTCCAGTCTTGGGTGACTTTGTGGAGTTTGCACATTCTCCCTGTGCCTAGGTGGGTTTTGGCCAAGTGCTGCAGTTTCTTCTCTCAATCCAAAGACGTGGGTTAGGTGGATTGGCCATGCTAAATTTCCCCATAGTGTCCAGGGATGTACAAGGGGAGGTTAGAAGGTGTTAATTTCGAGACTGACTGACAGCATTTCTATCAGCTGGTCCTGAAAATACAGCGGCTCCAGAATTATTTTGTATTCACTCGTGGGATGAGGGTGTTGCTGGCTGGGCCAGCATTTATTGCCCTTTCCTAGTTGCCCTTGAGAAGGTGGTGGTGAGCTCTGTTGTTGAACTGCTGCTGTCCACCTGCTGTGGGTTGACCACAGTGCCCTTAGAGGCAGGGACACCTACCATTGCATCACAAGAGCCCCCTCACCTCCTTTTATTCTAGTCCTCTAAATAAAAGTCAGTATAACAGATACTTTCTAATCAACCTGTTCAAGATATGTTGCTATATACCTCTGGAACAGGTAGAACCTGAACCTAAACCTCCTGACTTGGAAGTCAGGGCACTTTCACTGTATCACGAGTGCCCCTTGAGGCAGCATTCCATTAGCTTTTTTTTAATTATTCTTTACACTTGTTCATGACACTTTGATCGTTTATTCACTTGCACACTTTGGTTTCATCGGAAATTCACTGTTTCTTGCTATTTCCCTTTAGCCAAGTACTCCATTCTATCCATTCTAGGTCCAAATTGAGTGATTTCATATTTGCAAGCATTGCAATCCATTTGCCACAGTTTTACTCAATCATTGAATTCCATCAACATAATTCTTTGTTTCGATCCACAGTGTTTGAAGTTCCAACCAGTTCTGTGTCAGCAGTGAATTTGGATACGTGTCTTCCCTATTTCATTATCTAAACTGTTACTAAATAGAGTGAATGACTGGCTAGCAATCTCTGATTAGGGACTTTATCAAAGCTTCCAGACATCAGTTTAAATAACATGCAGAGATAGTCCCTTGTCCATCAGTCAGCATTTTCCAAAAATTTTGTACTTATTTCAGATTTCCAGCATCTGGAGTATTTTTGTTGAAAGTTTTAAAATGCTCAAGATTTCGCAGAATTGCTGCTATGTCTTGTGGAGCCAACATTTCACTTTGACTGACAAGGGAAAGAAATGTGCATGTTGATTGACTAGATAGCCCAGCTCCATAATTTGATATTTGTAGTATATTTGCTGAATTCAAGGGATAAATCAAACTTAGACACAAACTATCCTGAACTGCAATTGTAAAAATGTGTATTGTCTTAGTGAATTGGAATTTTGCCAAAGTATTGGTTACTTTGTAATACCAGATGTCAATGTAATTATGTGCAAATCTCCATTCAAATTGTCATGTGATTTTCTTTATGTGAAAAATAAAGGAAACAATGAACACTCTTCACTCAAGTGAATATTAATCATTGCATTCCTTTAAGCATTTATGTATTCAAATTTTTGCTTATTGTACAAATTAATGATGCTCAAGTTCTTGAATTTCCAAATCTTGAAGTGATTGCCCACTGGGTGGGTCCTTTGAGGAGTAAACAACTCAATTAGTTAATTAAATCTCACTTAAACTAGTCAAACCTGTTGATTTCAACTAGTATGACCTGACTTCAAATGTACAAGCCAAGTCATTTGGCTGCAGCTGGTTTCAACTTTTCACTTTTCACTTTTCACTTTTCACTTTTCACAAGATAATTCATTCTATATGGAAGAATTTTTATGTAACCAGGCTCAAATTCAACCAATTAGAATGTTAAATCAAACAACCAATTCCAGTTAAAAGTGGCCAGAAAACATTGGTGATAATTGGGATTCCCACTCAATTCTTTCTGAGTTCAGGACGAATTAGAAGTAATTATAATTGGCATTAATTGTTAATAATTAATTAGAACGGCATTCTTATTGACTGAAACTTACAGTTGAGACCAGATAATTTCAATTGTTTCTCGGTTTTACAGGTAACTAGTTTATCTTGAACCTAAGCACAACTACAGAAGTGCATCTTGTCTTTGTTCTCCTCTGTTGCTCCAGCTCTATTTCCACGTAACATCTCACACCAAAATTTTCGTCACTCACCCACGCTAGCTGATATTGTAAATAACTAGCTGATATTGTAAATAGTTTTTGCTTCTCAATCACTGTCTCCTCAGTGGCAACCATGCATTTCAAAGATGGCACCAGTTTATTATTGCAATCCCTTCCAATTTTTAACATTTTCGTTTTCTCATTCATTAGTAACATTAATGTGAATGACAACATTACAGTGTATTACATGTTAGTAAGTCACATTTGTTACAATGAGAGTATTGCTATTTATGGATGTAATACTCTCCTATTTTCGTAAGTGTTCATGAAGAGCTATAAAGCCAAAGATATCCAAGAAGTTATGTTTTCAACCTCCCTGTGTTGTACCCCCACCCCCACCTGTAATAGGTACCATCAAGTCGGCTGAGCAGACTTCAGGAGGCTTAAACTTTGAGGAAGGAAGGTCATTGAAGAGAGCTAGCAACTGAGGAATAATAGGCTGACTAGAACCCTCCCTCAGGCTTACAGATAGAGATCTGGGATTGATATTGTTAACAGCCTGCACACTAAATTTTGAAGGGTCTAGGCCCGAAACGTCAGCTTTCCTGCTGCTCTGATGCTGCTTGGCCTGCTGTGTTCATCCAGCTCTACACCTTGTTATCTCTGGACACAAAATGTTGCTTTCTGAGTACTTTCAATTTTTTGAATAATTTAAGAGCATGAGGAGCTCCATACAATGTATGCTAGCTATTGTAGAGAACTTCAGTGCAAATGTGTGTATCCTCTTTCAAGTATACCACTGGACTTTTGATACCATCTGTAGTTGAGCTGTCCTGTACGGAACTCCTAAGCCTGGAAATGAAACTGTTCCAATTAATACGATGGAACTGTTAGTTTTCAAAGTCTGAGAGTTTGTTTTGTCTGATTTCACTGAATTTGCTGAACCGTTCTCTATGGGTGAAATTTTACTGTTGCGTTGAGGCTTCCTAGAGAAGGCCTGAAAATACATGGGACATCCATGTGCACGCGCAAGTGGCTAACTGTACACAATCATACAGTGCCCAGTCGTTTAGTTATGTAAAGACAAATGCACTGGCATGGTGGGCGAGTGCAGGAATTTGCTGGTCCTGCCACTACCTCATGGGGTCAGACAGCATTTGGACAGATATCCCCTCCCTGTCATCCTACAGCAATTGTTATTTGTTAGTTGTGTGTAATCTCTGAGAGTGCTGTTGCCCTTTGGATCTGTAACTGCCTGGATCCAAAAAGATCTGTGAACCTCACGATGATTATTTGCGAGTAATTGCTATGTCCCAGAAAAGAAACGAATGGCCCCTAAGGTTACTACAAGCCCTCTTCAAGCTTGCCCAGGAATAATGGAAGGTCTTTCTTTCCAGCTTTGGCAACAGGAGGCCCTCAGATGGGACTGGTTGTAGTGTTATGAAAAGGGTTAATAATCTTTTATATTTGACGAAGGTAAGTGGCATGCTGTAGTCACTGCAAAGCGGAAGGTGTGAGTGGAGAGGGATGGCAGACACGGGTTTTGGGTACTAGGCTTCAGCATCACATGGCACATATGGACTGAATGTGTGGGAACTGGTTAAAGCTGTGAAAGTTGCACCAGTTGCAAGAGGGTTCATGTCTGTAACACATAATAGGGAGGGCACAGCAGTAGTGACAAGCATGCATTCTCATTAAGGCATTAAGTGCCTATTCAAATAACACTCAATCCTTCTATCCATTTGCAGGGCAAAAGAACACATCACATGGAGGGGTACTTCAAGACTGGTGGTGACCTGCCTATCATCTGCACACTGATGCCTGTTGAACAGGAAGGTGTCAAATTAGCAAGTGAGCTATACGGATGAAAAGGCAGAATCCCACGGCATTAAAGTGAGGATGCCCCCAGTCTGGTGTGGAGAACTGGGCATACAGAAGATACACATGGCCTATTGATGGGAATATGGATTGTGCACAACTTTAACCTAGCAGTCGAAGGAGGTAAGAAAGGTGGAACCACAACAAGATGTCCTGAGGTTGTCATCTCAGGGTGCCTGCAAGGGTTAGCTGTGGCTCCTCCTCCCCTCTGCTAGTGACCCCAATGTCTCCAGCAGTTGAGGGAGAACCTCAGCAGGCTGCAATCCTCTAGGCCTCAGATCACTAGAGGACAACCGCCAAGGACATCTCAGACAATGGAATATGGAAGTCAGCAGGCTGCTTCAACCTCAATGGTCGAAGTTGGGGTTGTACAAAAATGCTGTATAATCAAGATCAAACTTAAAACTGTAACAGAGTATCTAACAGTGGTCATTTTTTTTTTAATCAAAGGCTCTTCTTAACATTTGAAGGCCACCTTTTGATTTTGGCAGCTAATTTTTAATTTTCCAGGGCTCCTTTTCAGTTCTCACTGACTTATTTCTTAGGTGATGCAGTCCCATAGTAACAATACCTCATACATTTTTGTTGACTTATGGATATATAGACTCACGTAGAAGCAGAATTAGAAGAAGTCACCAGCATCCTCAATAATTATCAACACCCGACTAAACCTAAAGCCACAACAAAGTAGGAAAACCAATTTACTAAACAATACAGTATTTAAATTCAAACAAGACAACAAGCATAAGTTAACAACAAAAAGGTTTTTTTCAAAATAACTGACACAAATCTCTATACATTAAAAATCCATCACTCTAAATTCACCTTTTGCAGATTGGTGAGGTCACAGCTAAGGTATTTCTATTGTATTTGCTCAAAGCTAAAAGATTTTAACTAGAAAGCAACATTCCTTTTTACCACATCTCAAATTTAAATTTAACAATTGACAGTGTTAATTACAATAGTAACCATTATATTTTTCCACTATACAGTAACCGCTGAACGTATGCAGCCTTAAGGTGGAGTTTACACATTTACCTTTACAGAATCACCTCAGTGCTTTCAAGCCCTTTACAGAATCACCTCAGTGCTTTCAAGATTTCCTGGTTCCTGGTTAGCTGAGTATTACCTGAGTATTCCTCTGTTGACAGATTTAAAACCATTCTCTCTTCATTACAGTCTGCCGCTCTCGCCTTTGCAGCAGCCCTCTCCCACACCATATCTCCTGCAAACCTTTGCCCCCCCATCCCTTTTGCAGTTGGCTTTCCCCCAATTCCTCTTGCAGCCGCCTTCTCTCCCAACCCATTTTGCATTTTCTGCCCCACCGCTCTTTTCAACCTCCTTCTCCTACCATTTTGGAGCCTCCTTCTTCCCCTATCTGTGGCCTCTTTCTCCATCAAATACAGGCATTGGCTCATTGCCTAATGTGAATCCTCCTAAGAAGCTGACGTAGGTGAGTAATAAAAGCCTTTGACATCCCTAGCCATCTCTGACATTGGCTCTCTGACATTTGCAGGTACTTACTCCATTTGTGGTATTTTAAATTATGCACCAATTCTTGGCATCTTAATGGTTTTTGGTTGCCCCCATCTTGAAATGCCTGAGGCTCTGCTGGAACACTTCTTTGTTTTTCTGGCCATTGTTTAACTGCTTTGTGTCAGTGGCTTGAGGGAGGAGTGACAGAAATGTCAGTGTCGCACGTACCTGTGACATTGGACCACTGTCAGTCTGAAGACGCTGGCTGAATGGTAATTCCAGATTGGCGTTGGCATGTCATTGGCTTGTTTAACTATATTCCTGGCAGCCAGATGGCATTCATTGTAGTACTGTTGGGTTTTCAATGAGTTTTGTTGATGGGAATTCCTAGAGACATGGTTCTCCACCCATACTTCAATCAACAAACATATAGAATTGGACCACATATACAAACACATACAGATCAAAACCGGAAATGACAGTACTCACAATAACAGACCGGACAGTATAAATTCCAAGCGGAGTAGACTAACATCGCTTCATCGGAGGCTCCACTGATGATGTTACCTAGCATGGTGGTGAAACGTCTGAACAAAAACAAGCCAGCTCGGCGAGCAAGTCAATAACCACATCCACAACCGGAGCTACAGTTCTTTGCCAAAACTTTAAATGGGTTTTATTAGCCAAATTTGAAGTGAGAATCCCTAATCCCAAAGATATCAGACAGTTTGCTCTGGTGTAGGACAAAAATATCGTGACAACTCTTCAGGAACCTCCTGCAGAAACATGTTCAGTGGTTGCCCATGGATGAATGGAAACCCTTACGGATGACAAATACACTTGGTTAATCTGATCCCGCCTGGTTTCCACATGTGAATTCAAGATGCCCCGGGGAACTGATGCCATCACAACGAAGGTGACATAGTTGCTGGCTCTGTTGGACAATCCATCAGTCATTCGTATGACCAAGCATTTGTAGACTGCCAATAAGCAGGTTCTGATCATCTTCAGTAGAGCTCTGGAAAGATCTGGAGTCAAAAAAAAGTTAAGGATGGTAGAGATTTTGGCAATCACTGCTAATGCAGAGCCATAATGTCCAGCAGGAAGTAGGTCTTCTTGGTTGTTACTGAGGTTTACCACAACCTGATGTGGCAACCTGAGCCTGCTAAGACAATGTTGTTTGAATATTTCAACAAAACTAATTGTCTGACCGATCACCCTGTGTCATCAGTAGTGCCTCCTGAGAGCTACATCTAGTTGCATCCACCTGCTGCTGCCCTCCCAGTTTCTCTCCTTTCTGATCCTGCACATTCTTGTTGAGCTACAGGTCTCTGAACAACAGGCTGTTGCTATTGCTGGTGCTACTTCTGGTTATATTGATCCTCATCCAAGATCCAATTTAAAATAGCCATAGCAGCAATCTGCTAACTCCTATATAATCATAGAATTTCTATAGTGTGGGAGTAGACATTTCAGCCCATCGAGTCCACACTACCTCTGCAAAGAGCATCCCATCCAGATCCACCCCCTACCCTAGCCCTGTAATCCTGCATTTTCCGTGGCTACTCCACCTAATCTGCATATCCCTTGACACTATGGGCAATGTAGCATGGCCACTCCGTCTAACCTTACATGTCTTTGGACTGTGGGAGTAAACCAGAGCACCTGGAGGAAACTCATGCAGACATGGGGAGAATGTGCAAACAGTCGCCAAGGGTGGAATCAATCCCAGGTCCCTGGTGCTGTATGGCAGCAGTGCTAACCGCTGAGCCACCGTGCCACCCCATTGATTGAATAAACATTCAAATTGTAAAGTTATCTTTCAGCATTCGTACAATGAAGAAATCCTTTCCGACGAGCAGGTATGGAAGCAGTTATCAGTTCTGAGTATTTGCCGAGGTACCCCATGACATTTTTTTCAGCCTCTCAATTGTCCTTGTGGTCTTCACTGAGAGTTTCAGGAAGCATTTGAAGCTTAGAATTTACCAATGCATTTAAAAGTATGTGAAAAACATTAATCAGTTATATAAGTTAATAGGGAGCCTCCCTCTCCTGAAGAGATTGCAAGCAAGCATTACAACACACTCCAGTTAAACCTGGTTAAATCTGCTTGGTTCCCAACACTGACATTTTTACTGGTTTTAACCAAAATAGAAGGACTGAACTAATTGTAAATGTAATTATCCAATGATGGAAAATCATATTAGAAATTCTGCAGCATGTGATGTATATGGGTAATTTACAGAGCCTCAGTAATCACAAGTATAAGTTAATAATTTGACCTATCATGCTATTATCCCATCTCCATTACCATACTCACTTTTACTAAGGCACTTAAAATGGACCTCGTCATTCCCACTTCAACTTCAGTTTAGTTATTCAATGCCTTTCTAATCTTTAGGACAGCATAAAACAACATAAGGGATGTAATTGTGAATACATAATGCAGATTTTGTGACATGCTTGCATGTATATTTTATTCAGTATATTCTGAGTAAGTCCTATTCTGCTGTCTGTCTTAAGCAGTCATTTATTATATCAATTTACCTGTTGCTTTGCTCCAATAAATTACTTTCCCCTCATTATGTTATGCCCAATGCTTCATATCAATCTTAGTGAAAAGGTAGGTTATAGCCTGAGCGGGCCTATTCAGGGATGTGAGCCATGAAACCCTGTGAGGAACTGAGATTCTACCATGTTATGCTATACAGTGGGAGGGTGTAAATTAGTTTCTTGAATTTGCTTTGAATTTTTGTCTACAATGTCTTACCATCAAATGATGGATTGAGATTGTGATATCAAGAAATAGCTGAAGGCTATTCAGGCATTCAGGCAATAGTACTGAAGATTTGTGCCCCAGGATAGCTGCACGATAGCCAAGCTGTACCAGTGTAGTTACAACACTGACATTGATCTGGAAATGTGGAAAGTTGCCCAGATATGTCCTTTCTACAAAAAGCAATTTTTGTTAGATGGCCACTTACCATTTCCTCAGCTTACCCTTGATCATCAGCAAAGAGATGGAGGGGATCGCAATCAGTCCTATCCAGCAGCATTTGTTTAGCAATAGCCTTTGAAATGATGCTGAGTTCAGGTTCTGCCAGGGGCACTCAGCTCCAGACCTCATTACAGCCTTGGTTCAATCATTGACAAAAGAGCTAAACTACAGAGATGAAGTGAGCGTGACTGCACTCAAGCAGCATTTAACCAAACATGCGATCAAGAAGGTCAAACTAAATTGGAGCCAGTGGATATCAGAGGGCAAGCTTCCTGTCGTATCCTAGGCCTAACCATTTTCATCAGTGATCTTGCATCCATCAGAAGATCAGAAGTGGGAATGTAAAATAATCAGTGAACAATATTCCGCACCATTCAGTCACTTTAGATATAGAAACAGTCCATGTGTAGCAAGAGATAACACAGTATGAAGAAGGTTCCTGACCCAAAATATCAACTTTCCTGTTCCTCTGATGCTGCCTGGCTTGCTGTGTTTATCCAGCTCCACACTGTTGTCTCTGACTCCAGCATCTGCAGTTCTTGATAACTCCATGTATGGCAAGACCTGGACAATACCCAGGCATAAGCTGATAAGTGTCAAGAACAAATGTCCCACACAAATGCCAGATAATGACCATCTCCAGCAAAAGACAGAGCCTTACTCACCATTGCTCTTTGACATTCAATGGCATTACTGTTGCTGAATTGACACCTATCAACATCTTGTGAGTTAACATTAACCAGAAACTGAACTGAACTGAACGAACCATATAAGTCATATAGCTGCAACAGCAGTTCAGAGGCTGGGATCTCTGCAGTGATTCACTCACCTCCTGATTCCATCACCTACTAGACACAAGTCAGGAGTGTGATGGATTACTGTCTACTTTCCTGATCAATTGCAGCTCTAAAAACAGTTAACAAACTTGACGCCATCCAGAACCAGATATGTTGTTGATATCAAGCTATGGTTGGTCTGCTTTCATTCCCGTTCTCATTCCATTTTTAGCATGGTCTTGGGGGGATTTCTTTTCAAAATGGGTCTGTGGTGCACGTCAGACTGGTCCTGTGAGTGTCTGCATGTTCAGCCTGTGAAGGATATGCTTTCTGGACTTGGCCAGCTGGGTCATTTGTGGTGCTACTAAACTAGTTTAGTGATAGACATTGAGTTTCTCACTCAGAATTCACTGTGTGGCTTTGATACCATCTATGATTATCCAAGTGGTGTTCAACATGAATGATTACTGAATCATCAGCTGAGAGACAGTGTAACTTATAATCAGCTAGAGGTCTCCTTGGCTATTTTTGATCCAACGTCACAAGAGTTCACGGAAACTGGAGTCACCTCCATGGAGGGGGTATCTAATTCCAATGTTTTTTTGCATCCAACAGGATCATCATGCATTGAGACAGAATGCATTGAGACAGAATGCATTGACCCACCACCCCATAGCTGAAGAATCCATGTTTGTTCATGTTGCTACATTCAAATCCACCTCGGTGTAATGTTGAAGATTCTACTCATCATATTATTCAGAACTGGTTCTGTCAAGTATGATTACAAATGCCCGCTCTGATGAAAAATCATCTAGACTTGAAAAGTTAGATTGCCGTTTCCGTGGATGCTGCCTGACCAGCTGTGATTTCCAGCATTTGTTGTTTTCAGTACAAATTCCAGCAACTGCTCCTGCATTATGATTACAGACAGAATAGATGGTGAGCCTTTAAGTGGATTAAGCTGCAGGGATCATTTGATGGTATCAACAATTCAATAACCTCTGTCTCCTTACTAGGTAACTTGGAGAATGCAGATGGAGTGCTGAAACTTGCTGAGGTTAGTGCACTAATCATATGAATAATGGTCCAGACCTCACCCCATGTCCAAAACTTTGCTTGAAGCAATTTCTTGCCCAAGATTCTTTCTCGGTGTCAGAGGAAAATAAAATCTCACGGAAAAGCTGAATTCATTGTTGGTGATGGTACCTTTTTAGGAAACTGGAAGGTTTGCTTCACCAAAAGGAAATGCAAATTAGTTGAAAAAATGCATTATGTTTAATTTTAAGTACTTTTTATACTTCACAATTAATAGAAATAATAGATTTTTATCTCACAAAAGAATAAACAAAACCATATTTAAATTTTCAATAAACTAATTACCCAAAAATTATCTCAGCATTAACACTGCCATATGCATACTGTCGTCACTGCAGTTCACAAAGGCAACTTGCCTCCCCCAGATCCAACTTACACTAAACTTGCATCACATTCAGCTTATCATCCTTCTCCAACCCTTCCAGTTTATGTAAGCAGTCTTCACCCTCTCCTTCTCCCTCCCCATAATGGTTAGCAACATTAAAGCAGATGGACTAGGAGGTAATTTACTGGTATCGATTGGCTAACTGAATGGTAGTAAACAGAGGTTAGGCATAAATTGGTAGTTCTTGCTTTAGTAGGCTGTGACTAATGGGCTATTGCAAGAGTCGGTATTTTGACCGTAGCTGTTAATAATATATATTAATGAGTTGGATGTGGAACCATGTGTAATATTTCCAAATTTGCAGATGATACAAAGGTAAACAGGAATGTGTACTGTGAGGAAGATGTAAAGTTGCTTCAAGAGGATTTGAGATAACAAGGTGTAGAGCTGGATGAACACAGTAGGCCAAGCAGCATCAGAGGAGCAGGAAGGCTGACATTTCAGGCCTAGATCCTTCTTCCTGCTCCTCTGATGCTGCTTGGCCTGCTGTGTTCATCCAGCTCTACATCTTGTTATCTCAGATTCTCCAGCATCTGCAGTTCCTACTATCAAGAGGATTTGAGCAGGTTTAGTGATTGGGCAAGAACGTGACTAATGGAATATAATGCAGAAAATGTCAGGTTATCCACTTTGATAGGAGGAACAGATGTACATATTATTTCTTAAATAGTAACAGGTTGGAAAGTGTAGATAAACAAAGGGATCTAGGTGTCCTCTTAATAAGTGTCATAAGGCTAAGGTGCAGGTTCAGCAAGCTATTCGGAAAGCTAATGGAATGTTAATCTTTATTGCAAAGAGGAGTAGTGAAGTCTTGCTTCAATTGTACAGGAACTTGGTTAGACTGCACCTGGATTGGAGTGCGGAGTTTTGGTTTCTTTATCTTGGGGAAAGGTATTATTACCATAGAGGGAGTGCAGTTAAGATCCACCAGACTTATTTCTGGGAAGATAGAACTGACCTAAGGAGAGAGATTGGGCAAACCACGTTTGTATTTTCTATAGTTTTGAAGAATGAGAGGTGATCTCATTGAGATTTACAAAATACTTAAAGGGATAGACTGGCAAGATGTTTCTCCTTGTTGGGAATCTAAAACCAGGAGGCAGAATTTAAAAATAAGGGGGACGCCATTTAGGAACAAAATGAAGACATATAGTTTTTGCACAAATGGCTGTGAATCTTTGGAATTCTCTACCCAAGAGGGCTGTGGAAACCCAGTTTTTAAGTGTATTTGAAATAGAGATTAGTAGATTACTGATTGTCAGTGACATAAAGGGTTATGGGAAACAGATTATCACCAGCCATCATTGTATCAAATGGTGGAGCAATCTCAAAGAATTGAATGACCTACTTCTGTCCCTATGTTGCGATTTCAACATCCATCATTTTGCTGAAATTTGACAGCAGGCTGATCAGGTGATAACAGGCAGGATTGGATTTGTGATAACAAAGTGTGGAGCTGAAGGAACACAGCAGGCCAGGCAGCATAGAGGAACAGGAAAACTGACTCTTTGGGTCGGGCCCTTCCTCAGAAAAAAAATTAGAAAAAAAAGGATTGGATTTGTTGTGCTTTTTATACACTGGACCTACCCGGACAATTTTCCATGTTGTTGGGTAGATGCCAGTGTTATAACTATACTGGTACAGCTTAGTGAGAAGCTCAGGTAGTTCTGGAGCAAATGTTTTCAGCAGTACTGCCTGGATCCTTTCAGGGTTCATAGCCTTTGCTGTATCCAATGTACACAACTATTTCTTCACAATACTTGGAGTGAATTGAAAGGCTGAAAACTAGTTTAATTAATGGTCAGGATCACAACAGGAAGTGAAAATGGATTATGTGCAACGTATTTTTTGGCTGATGGTGTTTGCAACTACATTTCCTTTTTGCTCACATGTAGGGCTGTGTTAACATTTAAAATGGAGGTGTTCTTGAAAAAGCCTCTTCGCTTGATTGTTTGTTTGTCCACCAAACTCACTACTGCAGAGCTTTTATCTGATCCGACTGTTGGTAGCATTTCATAACTGTTTTTCTATACATGTGCTATGGTGCTATTTTTCTGGCCCTATTTTGTAGCATCACCAGCTTGGCAGCTTTTTTTTTCGTTATGACTGATACTGCTCCTGCCACAGTTTCCAATTTTTTATTTCAAAAATCTACTTTATTCATAAAAAAATTAAATACATACCTAGTGACCAACACAGCTCAGCTCTGTATAGTAGCATATGAAGGAACAAACATTGGAGTTTGACTGTATCCAGCAAACAAACCAAAGGGATTTGTTACTTGTACAAGATTATATTTACATACATTTGAGGCATCAGGAGGGTCTGATAACTGAATGGACCCCCATGTAACATTGGCAGAAAGACCTTAAGACGGTGGTGTTTCCCTACTGTGCCTTGGCGCCAGCTACACATGGTCCAGGACCTTGGATTGTGCAAATCTGCAACACTAATTCATGGTCAACTCCTTGCTCTGGAAGACCTGCACTCACTATTGAACCAAGCCCCTGGCTTGATAGTAATGGTGAAATAGGTGCAGTTTGTATCAATTCTTTGACTACTCTGCCTGTTTTGGTTAGTTTGACATTCATTAAGCCAAAAAGATTGGAGTTTAAAAGAACATTCAGTGAACTTTCTTCTTCATAACAAAACAAACCTGCTCAAAGTTGTTGAAAATAGAATTTGGACAGCAATCGTCATTTAACTATTGGGATTGTACATACTGAAGGCGGACCATTCGGATATTGCCAGCAAAATCTGGTTGCAGGAGGGCCAGCTGTGATATTGTGTCGTTCTGTAATTCAAATAAGGAAAATTAATGGACCCTTCGAGGAGGGATCACTGGACCCGAAACGTTAACTCTGATTTCTCTCTACACGTGCTGCCAGGCCTGCTGGGCTTTTCCAGCAATTTCTGTTTTTGTCATGACATCTTGCAGCGCTTTTGGCAAAGCTAGTTCAGCACGAAGGAGACGGCCCACGGTACAGGAGAATTTGTGTTTATTTTTAGATTTGACTCTTTTCTCGGCCGCCAGCAGCTCGGATTTGCTGCTACGTCGGCTTTACGGTCTTTGGATTTGGTTTGGCTGCTTTGGAAGGTGAGCTGCGATTAAGTGAGCGCTGACGATGGATCTCCCATCAGAGTGCGTGTCGCGGCATTGGAACGTTGTGTTGTTATTGACAGTGTCTCAGCGTTCTGAATTGGAACGTCGTGTCTGGCAGTCTGCGGGCATTGGCTGAAATCCAGGCCTGAGCTGCTTCTCTGCTGCACCTACGCTCTGCGCCTTATGGTGTTACGTTTGTTTTAAATTTCCTCAATGTTTTTAATTTGCCTTTTTCACTCTCCCATATTCAGACGGAAAAAGGTATGTGCGTTATAACCCTGTAAAGGATGTTTTGTTTGGTTGCTGTGGCAAGTTGTGCGCGTGTTGATTTTTTCCCCCCCACTATGACAAAGGAAGACCGTCTTTAACTGATGCAATCCCCTTTCTTCCGGACTCGGACTCTCTCTCTCACGCTGGATTGCTTCAAGCCAATTCTTAAATTCCGTGATCTGCCACAGAGCAGAACTACCACGTGCTTCAGTGCGCCGGTCAAGTATAAAATTTCTCGCTCAGAAGCAGCAGGTTATAAAATTACATCCTGTTGATTGTTTTGAGAGGCTGGAGATAATCGACTACAGCGAGGTACACTTCAGCAGACTGAATTATCCTTTAGCTGTTTTAAATTGTTGTTTTGAATGGTGGGTGGGTGAAAGCACGTAGCACTTTGGGGCTGCTTTGACTGTGTCATTTCTTTGCAGGTGTTGATCGGCTTTTGCTGGTTTCCGGATGTTTTAATGTTATTGAAGACAAATACTTTCCGCTGCGTTCATGTGTGTTAAAACATTCTTTTTTCTTTTACAATTTGTTGAAGTGCTGCACATTCTAGGAATTAGTGAATCGTTACCGTCGTATTTAGAATAACAAAAGGGATATTTCTCCCCATAGTCCAGTATTTTGGGTTTAATCAACATCACGTAAACATATCGTCACGTTGGTGTTGTACGCTGCTGTTTCTGGGTCTTTTGTTGAGTGCGTGCTTGGCGGTTCCTATCTGAGTCTTGTACCTATAGTTTAATATTTGTGTAGAATTGAAAATAAATGAAACCATAATAGTGTACAAATAAGGGAGGAATTGATGCAGTTGTCTACGTACCATTGATAATTTATGTGATAAGGCAATGAAGTCTTAAAATAACTTACTTAAAACTTGTTCTTGCGACGTGAGCTGATACTATGCATTCTTGATTGCATTTAGTGATTGTCCGTTACTTGCTCAATCTTCTGCATATCTTGTGACGATGGTGCTCCCAAAATAGGATTGGGTGATAAGTTTTAGGACCGTGATTCAGCAAAGATGAAACTATTTGGGAACTGTTTGTATCTTGAAATGTTGTCTGACCTGCAGGCAATGTTGGAGTTGATGGGGATTCTTTGCTGACCTTGTCCTTTGTATTAGAGATTGTAGCATTGGTGGCGAACCAAGTACAGTGATTTGTAAAGGTATGTACCCTGTATTGCAGTCACAGTGCAACAG